GTTTTTATAATAAAAGGTCTCCTATAATTCTTTTCATATTGGTTGATACAAATTTGAGTTTATCTTCTATTACTCAACCTGTTGCCACACGTTGCCTTCTACACTTGCATCGTGCGGCAGAGCCAATTTTCATTCTTTATGGCAACGACTGTACATATGCATGTGCTCGGGATGAGGTAGACCTAGTTATGCATGTAGGTGATCTTGAGTTTGAGTTGCAGTCATTGTGGGTGGTGCCGAGTCAAACTTTTGACCTCATCCGTGGTATGGATTAGTTGTAGCGCAATCATGTTAAGTGTGACTTTGAGGCTTCTCCCCCTTGTCTCATATTTTCTTATATTTTCCCATGAATAAGAGTGCACCCCCTTTTCCAATCGGTTAAGGGTCTTGGGATATTTGGGGTTAAGCATCCTTGGGTTTGAATAGTACTGGGCTAGGTGACCTCCCGGGAAGTCCAAACTCAGGAGTTTACAATATTTCATCCATTCCTTTCACTTTCGTACCTTTTCATCCCTCTACTTCTACCTTTGCTTCCATTACTTTTGTTTCCCCATTACTTGCTTCTATGTTTTTGTCTTGTTCTGCTCTTCCCTTTTCTGATCCCTTTGACGGTTTTTGTGTTGTGGTGGTTGACCGACTTATGAAGGAGTATGCCGATCTCTTTGAATTTGACCTATTGTTTGGGGCCAAAGTTGCCACATATCATCCAATTCCAACTGGGGATGCTTGTCTAATCAAGGTTTTTGCTCGTTGTCGATCACCTAAAGAGATCAAGATTTTATATGCAAACGTCAAAGAGATGTTGGAAAAGGATGTTATTTGAAAGTTACGGAGTTCTTGGGCATGTGAACCTCATTTTGTGACGAAACCTGATGGGAGTATTCATTTCTACATCGACTATTGTCCATTAAATGAAGTGACAATCCCAGATGTGTACCCTCTTCCTCACACTATTAATCTCTTGAATCGTCTAGGGAAAAGCCATTGGTTCACCAAGCTAGATCTTGCTTCTAGGTACTGGCAAGTACTGATTGCCAAAAAAGATATTCCTAAGACTGTTTTTCATACATCATTTAGTTTGTACGAGTTCTTGGTAATACCTTTGGTTTGAACAATGCTCTAGTGACTTTCTCCTTTGAGTGGATCAAGACATCATTAATAGTCATCTTCGGCATATCACAAAGAACCTCGTCCATTGAGAGGAACACATTTATGATGTTTGTAAAGTGTTGGATTGGCTACAGGATATTGGTCTAAAGTTGAAACGGTCGAAGTGCGTGTTTAGGTCCAAGAACACGACTTATCTTGAGTACCATATTTCTCATGAGAGTTTGCAAGTTGATCATAACAAACTTATGGCTGTTCTAAAGTTTCCTACTCTGAAGTGTGTGAATGATGTGCAGTGCTTTTTGCATAAGGTGCAGTATTTCGATTGTTTTATGGATCATATTTCTGATTGCACTGCACTATTGCAAGTGTTGCTGAAGTCATCAATGTCATCTTTTATTTGGTTTGTAGACTGTGAGTGGGCGTTCATGGATCTCAAAGAGCTATTAACAACTCCTCTAGTTTTGGCATATCTTGACTACACTTGACTTTTCATCTTGCATAAGGATAATTTTGATATTGGTTTTAGAGATGTGTTGATGCAAAAAAGCCCAAGTGTGCCTAGTCAGCGCCATCCCATTGCATACATTAGCCATACATTACAACCGGCGAAGGTAAACAACTCCACAACAAAAAATGAGTGTTTAGTAGCAGTCTGGGGTTTCAAGAAACTTCATACATATCTACATAGTTCTTGGATGTTATTAGAAGGTGATTATGCTGCCATTACTTTATTATTAAAACGGAAGAACTTGGTTGGTCATACTACTCGATGGGCTTTGAAGCTTTAGATATATAATTTTGATGTTGTTCATCGCCTTGGGAGTTCTATAGCTGACGATGATGCCCTTTCTCAAGTTCTTCTTCCTTCTTCATTTTCTTCTCATGTTTTTGATGAGCTTGTTGTTTCAACATTTATGGATTTTCTAGACGAGGATTCTATGCTATCGGCGGTTGCTATACTTGACATTCAGTATCCACAAAGTACAGAGCAAGATCTACCTTTTCTTAATGAGGGACTTACCCAGCTTCTTGGTCATACAACGATGTCCCATATGCCCACCTAAAATAAGAGAATCATGGTAGGCATGGAGATACTGTAGAATAAAGACAAAAGGCACCACTAACCATAAATAATCATCAGGATCCATCCCCAAAAAATAAAGAAGGCCATTTTCAAGGCAATATTAAAAATGTAAATGCCGAAATGGCAAGTCATCAATAAGTGATGTAAGATTCTCAAACCCTTCTTGAAGCTGTCGAATCCATGGCTTAATCTTTATTGGCCAAAGATGCAACATGATGTTATTTGGTATGTGTGTAGTTGTGTTTGGTGCCAAGTTTGTAATACTCCCCCTCGTGCTGTGGAAGGATAGTTGGAGTCAATTGTAATTTCTCGTTTATTTGAGTTGGTGGCATTTAATTTTATGGGACCTTTTCCACGATCGGTTGTTGGCAATGAGTATGCTATTATTGCTTCTGACTACTTAACTCGTTGGATGGAAGTTGGTGTTCTTGCTAACGCCTTTGCAACTGCTATTGGATACTTCCCCCTTAATCGAGTGGTGTTCTAACATTCTTGTCTAGAGCGGATTCTTTCAGATAATGGTCTTACATTTCATGTTTTGACATCTCACTTAGGGATACACCACACTTTCATGAGTGCTTATCATCCATAGTTAGATGGTTTGGTGAAATGGCTCATTTGGACATTCAAAGAGATATCGTGAATTATGTGAACTTTCAGCATTTAGATTGGGATGGTTATTTTCTCGTCTTCTTGGTATACATATGTCACAGGGGTGTAGAGTTCTGTTGGTGTTTCACTATATAAACTCCTATATGGTCATGATCCAATATTACCAACAGAGCTAGGTTTACCTTTGCGATTGCCACGAACTATCGATGCTAGGTTGTAGGATTAATATTTGATGAGCATTTTTCCACTTGTCCGAGTAGAGTTTGCTAAACACCTAGACTATATACAAGTGGGACAACAATGATGCTACAACTCCCATCATCGTTCACCTGCAAAGTACAAAGTGGATGACTTAATGTTAGTTTATTTTCCCCATTTTACGGTACGTGGTTTATCTAAGAAGCACCTTGCTTAGTGGAAAGGATCATATCGGGTGTTGCAACAAGTTAGACCACAAGTTTATGAGGTTCGACATAACATACAGCAAGCTGACCCCTAGAAAGTGTAGCTGTTGAAAAGCTTTTTACAAAAGGATCAAGAATAACTAATACCACCTACAAATCCATTGGTGCCTCCTCCTAATGTTCCACCAAATCTCAGCCCATCTACAAGAAAACCTTGATGGTCTTCCATTATTCTGAGAGGAGGGGATGATGTGAGGTCCAAGTGTACAGATATAATGCTGTATACTAATATTAGCATAGTGGAATTTAGTAACTGTTGGATTATTTTCAATCTGAACCACTTGCTTTTGTATATAAATTAGGGTTTTTGGGCTAATTGATATGCACATTTTCTGTATTCCCTTTCTATATTCCATGCACTCTCTCACACACACACATGTATATGTATACATATATATATATATATACATACATACATATATACATACATATATACATATATATACATATGTATATGTATATATGTGTGTATATGTATGTATATATGTATAGATGTATGTATTACCCTACTTTCATAATACATTAATGTAGTGTAACATATAGACTGTTCAATTGGGATTAATCCCTAAACAATAATTCTTATATCCCAAACACTCACATTAGTGGAGTGGAGGGGCACTACAAATTATCACTAAAGAGTAAAGCTTTTTGGCAAAGTGTTTGCAATTGTTCCACTTTGTTTATTCCCTCATTCTTCCATTAAATTTAGCTTCTCCATTGTCTAGATCATTATTGCTTTTGGAACTAACTTGATATCATAAATATTCTAAGAATCTCAAATGGTATAAGGCCAAAAGTCATTTGCATAGGTCATCTTTCAATCTTACTACATCTAGAATGGCATTAAATGTAACACACATGAATTTGGAGCCAAAATCTAAACTTATTATGTTACAAAATAAGTTTAGTACACTTTCAATCTTATGAGCATCAACTCCATATCCAGCATCTACATGCAAAATGGTGTCAGACATGGTTTAGCACAATTTTGGCATATTAATAGCCTAAAACAAGGAGATGGGTACCCTATTAACTAACAGAGCATGGAATTTGGGATTAGACCTATGTTAAATATAGAATAGAGAGCAATATAACTTAGAAAAAGCTAAACTAATAATGTCTCAAATGTTCAACTATGTAATTTAACCATTATCCCCACTATACATTTGAAACCCTTTATAACCCCTACCCACCCATCTCAGTGATGTTTTAAATGAGTTTTTCCAACTAAATATTATCAACAAGGAAAGTTAAAACTGGGCTAACTATTGTTTGACTAACTAAGAATTTTTTTTTTTTATTAATAGAATCCTTGATCAGTTTCGGTTTTGAGCATTCCTATATTCCACAATTTTCCAAAGTTTTAAGTTGAATGTATTTTCCTCAATATGAATAGTATTAAAAAAATTATTTTACTGTTGTTACTAAAAAAATTATATATTTTTTTGAGAGTGGAGTTTTCCATTGATTTCTTTGTCTTCTTTATCTCCTTAAGGCATTTTATAACAAGATGTCAGGTCTAATCCTTAATTAAGATATCTATTTAAATATCCCAACCACTCACAATGTTTACTTTATAAATATTTTCTAAATGTGAAAGTTTATTTAAAATTGTTTTCTAGTAAATTCAAGACCGGATTAAAAGCTTTAAGTTACAACAGCTAATTTGTAAAGTTAAATATGGATATACTAACTTCAAAAACTAGAATATTCACATTTGATGCCAGCACTAGGGTTTCTTTTGGATGTGGGGGAGTGGCAAGGCGATGCTCCAGGGCTGGTTCAATGGTGGCCCCAGCGGCGATGGAGCTGCCGGCGATGGAGCTCCTAGCCTTCTATCGCAGTGGAATTCCTACGCGGAGGTATCGCGCCAGGAGGCCGGGGGTCTGGATGTGGAAGCCGGCGCGCTCTTCAAATCCGCCAACGACACAATCTCCGGCGCATTCAGCACGTAAGATCTCGTTTCCTCTCCAGATCCTGGTTTCTAGAGCCCGATCCGTGCTATGCTCGCACACAATTCTGTGTTTAGTTTCATGTTTTCTTTGTCAGGTTGTCTAAGGGCGTGAGAGAGCTTCCTGGAAGCGTACAATCGGCGACGAGCGGGATTCCTTCTGGAAAGGCGATCACATACTTTGCTCTGCTGCTGGGATCCGGGGTCTTCTTCCTCTTCATCTCCTTCACTATGTTCTTGCCGGTGATCGTTCTCGTGCCTCAAAAGTTTGCGTCGTGCTTCACGATCGGATGTCTGCTCGTCATGGGATCTTTCTTCGCGCTGAAAGGTCCTCGCGCGCAGTTTGCTCACATGATCTCGCAGGAGGTGAGAAGTTCTTAGATTTGTTCCATGGATTGGTGGTCTCACGCTTTCGTTCTTTCTTTCTTTTTTGGATTTGTAGAGGTTGCCTTTCACTGCGGCCTTCGTTGGAAGCATTGTGGCGACGATCTACGCGTCGATGGTGTTGCACAGCTACTTGTTCTCAGTTCTTTTCTCTGTAGTTCAGGTAAGCTCGAGCTACTTCGAAAAAATCAAGTTTGCTTCTTTTCTTTTTGCGTGTTTGCAGCTTCTGGCATTGCTCTACTATGTCATATCCTACTTCCCAGGTGGCTCCTCGGGCCTCACCTTTATATCCTCCATGGCCAAATCGTCTGCCTCAAGAGTTTTTGGTGGCTAAAAAGTTTGTAAGTTTTCGTGCTTTCAATGTAGACATTCATTGTTGTAGTTCTTGCCACTTGAAGAAATCGATTGGTGATACTTGGAAGATGAGTAAGCTTCTAGCAAAAAAATGTTGGAAGACTTGGGAAGAATGTATGGATTCATATTAAGAGAGACAATGACAATGACAATGAAACTAACAATGAGACAATGACAATGAAATACTTAATACATAGCTTAAGGCTTACGCTTCGTCTCCTTCCTCGTTCATGGCCGCAAAGTCCAGTGGATAGCGAAGAATCCCTCCAATCCCTCCATATCCCGAGCAAAAGCTAGACCCTTCCTCCGTGTGATTCGTGATTATGTGCAGCTCGCACCCAAATCCTTTGTACTCCTCCGCAAGCCACTCCACCAGAGCCTTCTCTTCCACCTCCCTGTTCCTTGGAACCTCTTCCTTCGCTTCCTCCTTGCTCAAAACCTTGGTCACCTTGTTCCCGGTCTGGGGATCGTCGTAGACATACCTCCTCGTTTCCAAATCCTCGTAAACAATCAAGCTCTTCACCGCTCCCATTTCCAACGCCTGGAGCGTGTCCCTGATCCCCGATACGTGCTTGTTGGAGCAGACTCCGACCTCCTCGAAGAACTCCCCCAGCAGCTTCTTCTCCTGGACGAACTTCACGCTGGCTAGAACATCCTCCGAGAGCTCGATCGCCTGATTAAACCCCCGTTCTCCTCCATGGGATATAGTCACCACCTTGAGAACTTTGGCCCTCAGCCGGGGATCCAGCAAGGGCTCCAGCTCCGTCTTGAGATCGGCGCTCCCCGCGAGGATCAATCCCGCAACGTTGGCCTGGCTGCTGCTGGGATCGATGAAGTGCTTCACGGCAGCTTCGGATGCCTGGACGAGATAGTTGTGGCGGCACCCGGTTCTTAGTCTATCGAATCGCAAGGCCGACTGCCCTCCCCGGCCGTGCTTCTTCGGCAAGTCCACGCTGGACTTGTCGAGGATTAACCGTCAAGCCCCACTGAGCGTCCCAAACAAGGTCCCGTTACCGTCCATGACGATGAATCCATACTTGGTCTCGGACTCCTCGAGCAGGAAGTCCAAAAGCTCCGTGTGGAACCTCTTGTCGCAGAGATACGCAAACCGGCTCAAGGGCTTGGCGGGCTCAAAGCTCACGGCAATCATCCTGTCCTTGTTGCCCCCTAGAGCAATCGTCCCCACGAAGATCGCCAGGCCCCTGGGCGGCACCTTGGAGTAGAGCTTCAGCCGCTGCTGGGCCGATTTGATGGCGCCCTGGACCGACTGGCGATTGGTCCGGCTCTTGATGTTCGCCGCCGCCCCCATCTCCTCCACCAGGAGCTTCTGGACCCTAGCCACTTGATCTCGCGGCGGCACCATGAGCGTGATCATGCTCGTCCCGTTACCTTGCATCTCGCTCAGATCGCCGAGAAGCCTGCGCGTGCGCCATAGCTCCACGCCGACCTCCATCGCTTCTTTCTCGCCCTAAAATCTCCTCAAGCCCTACGCGCAGGGCACGATTATATACCCCCAGCTTTTCAATCCTGCCCGTCCGATATAACTCAAATTTAACCTCGGAGATCCACGGCTGGCGTTTGAAAAGAATTTACCGACGCGAGAATCTTCCTTTTTTACACTAGGGTTCTTCCTGTTTGCATGGTTTTGTTGAACGAGGGCCGCTCAAGCGTGGGCGGAGCCTTCCAAGTGAAATCTATGGTCGCTTCTTCCTTTTCCTCGCACATTTAGCGTGTCTAGTGTGTGCGCTCTACCTCGTTCAACGCTCTTTCTCTCACCTACCATTCTTCCACAAAGGCTGCCGCGCGTGCGCTCTACATTTGAGAGATTTCTCCTCGCCTTGGGGACGAGATTTTGGATTCGCGGTTCGCAGATCTGGGAGGAATCGCTCGGCAAGTTCAGGTAGCTTTTCTTTGAGGAATTCGCCCAAATTTGTTTTTTTTTTCTTCGGTCTGTGTTCTTCGAATTTTTTTCTGGGCTTTCGGCCTGTGCATGCTTTGCTCGATTAATGTGGGTGTGTTTCGCGTGATCCAAGTTCTTACAAACTTGTGGTGCTTGTCTCCAAATTCTAGAGAGCTATGGCCTCGGCGACTTCCATCGGTGCTAGATCCGTGTGCTGGTCCTCGGAGGAACTACTTGCTGGGAGATCGTCATGGAGCCTTGGAAGCACCAGTAGAGTGAGCTTTCTCAGCAGAAATCCTCCAAAGGCTATGGCTCTCAACCTCAAGAAGAAGAACGCAAAGTTCTTCCTCCAAATTCGAGCTGTGTCTTCCACTCCAACCATAGCTGAGGACACTCCCTCGTCTCCAGCATCGACAAGTAAGACGACAACTTTTGCTCTCTTTTTTTTCTAGATATTTTTCCAGTTCACTGTTCATGGAGGTCTTAAACAACAACTCTTCCGACTTAACTTACGGTGTGTGTTGTGGTCAGGCGAATCTGCATTGATCCTCATCCGACATGGTGAATCGCTGTGGAACCAGAAGAATCTTTTCACGGGATGTGTAGACGTTCCACTTTCTCGTGAAGGTGTCGAAGAGGCAATTGAAGCAGGCAAGAGAATTTCCAATTTGCCAGTTGATGTGATCTTTACGTCCGCTTTGATTCGAGCTCAAATGACCGCCATGCTTGCCATGACTCAGCACCGCATGAAGAAGGTAAAAAAAAAAAAGAAAGAGTTCTTGAGTTTTGTTTTTTGTTTTTCTCTTTTCTCAAAAAATATTTCTTTTCTTTTGTTTTAGGTGCCCGTGATTTTGCACAATGAAAGCAGCCGAGCAAAATCCTGGAGCACCGTATTCAGCTCGAAGACGAAGAACGAAACGATTCCAGTTTTTACTGCCTGGGAGCTCAACGAAAGAATGTGAGTACTTGTCTCTTTTTTCAAGCCGATAGTTCTCATTGAAGCAAAGCGTCCAGGTATGGCGAGCTCCAGGGACTAAACAAGAAAGAGACCGCCGAGAAGTATGGCGTCCAAAAGGTCCAGGAATGGAGACGGAGCTACGACATTCCTCCTCCAAACGGAGAGAGTTTGGCTATGTGCGCTGAGAGAGCCGTGGACTATTTTTGCAGAGAGGTATTTCTAAAACTTTCCCAGCGAAAAATTCAATCTTTTTTCTTTTCTCTCTCGCAGATCGAACCACAGCTTTCCAGTGGCAAGAACGTTTTGATCGCTGCGCATGGAAATTCTCTACGATCGATCATCATGTATCTCGACAGCCTTACACCACAAGAGGTAGAAAGTTTTAATCCGTTTGGCTAGAAAATTCTCAGGCATTTTTTTACTCAAGGTGATTGAACTTGAGCTTTCGACTGGAGTCCCAATGCTCTACGTGTTCAAGGACGGCAAATTTTTGCGGCGTGGAAGTCCCATAAGCCCCGATTCCACTGGTCCATACGCATTTACTCCAGTAAGTAATTCTGTTTCTCATTTTCTGCGATGGAAGTTGGTAATTGCCAATTTTGTTTCCAGGATTTGGCACTGTATCGTGAGAGGCTGGACAAAATGCTAGAGCAAGAGACGAAAACCATGGAAGAGATCGCAGAGTCAGAAAATTGAGCTACTGTGTAAAAAGATTTCATCCAATTTTCAATGGTAGCTTCCCGTTTGATCAAATAAAAATTAAGGGTTCGTGGTTATTAATCCCTCTGCCGCAAAACTTTAAAAAGATATTTATTTGCTTGACAGCAAACCAAAATCGAATAAAACAGTTTTTTCTTAGAAAAAAATTGTATATTCCAAGAAGAAAATACATTTCTACACCCTAGAAAGAATATTCGAGAGACTGTCAAGGGTCAAAGCGGTGCCCTTGGTGTGATCCTCTTGCGATCATTTCTCTAACATCTACCACCTCCGGGAAAAAGAATGAAAAAATCGATCAAGCTCCCTGCTTGCAAGCCTGACCGTCTCGATCAATCAAAAATCTCTCCACCATCTGGATCAGTCGAAACACTCCGCCAGTTCCACATCGTTGCTTTCCACCATCCCGGCCAAATCCTGGAAAGATCCAGCATTTGTCCTCAAGCCCGCGAAACTCCTGTGCTTGCAAAGCCTGGGAGCCGGATCCACCGGAAGGCTCGCCGCTGGGATGCAAGACATGGAAGCGCTCCTCCTGATCGTCTCCTTGGCGGCGCTGGCGCTGGAGCACCGCGCCTCCTTGTGTGGGCTGGTCACGCTCTTCCAGGTAGGGGGTTTGTGGAGGCCACAGCTACAATTAGAGTGATAGCGCTTCTTCTCGCACTGGCATGGATCGATGCAAGCCAACGCCGTTGGAAGATACCCCTCCATCCTTGATCGATCGACTATCTATCTATTCGATCTTTCTATCCCTTGCAAGTGACGTGATGCTGAGCTACCTGCGACTCGAATTGCATGGATTGAAAGATCGCGGGCCATTAAATCCTCACATCCTGGAGCCTCGACACCACAGGAAAGGATTTGCCTCGGCGAGAGAAATCGCCTCGCTACCGCGGCCTCTGCCTCGTCCAAGAATGCGTTGTGGAGGCCGCCTTTAAGACTCGTGTTAAAAGACACTTATTTTACTTTGGTAGTGTAAACTACCGCAAATAGGGAGGGAACTCGTTTACCACGAATTGAACGCCTTTTCCTCGTCGAGGTCTGGGAGAACAGTGTTCGTTGGTTAAATTGGTTTATTTATTTATTTTTCCTTTAAAAAATTAGGTTTTTCATTTTTGCTGTTACCTTTCTCAAGGCATGGAAGTTTATCTTATTGACACAAAACTGTAGCTAACATTTTGCTATCTCCAACTTGTTCTCCAAACAGGAAATTGCATAACTACAACACAACTAAAACACAACTGTTTAGGTGGCTTGATCCGGATTTGATTCTATTTGATTTTTTGAGGAGTTTGCCCCCAAATTCCATCCAAGGAGCAAGAAAACCCAACCCTTCCATGATCTCTTTTGCTTGTTTTCTTCGATCTTGGCTTTCTTGGCCACAAAGGAAGAGAGATTCTTACTTAGAGCCCCCAACATTTTAAGTTTCTCTTGGGCCCCCAGTCGCATCTTCAACTTGACCCGTTTGTCCTGTTAGTATGAGACGTGCATGAAGAC